TTTATTAGGTTTAAGTTATGAATATAGTTGTTTGGAATCAAATAGGTTTTTATATAATAGTCAAAATAATATACAGTTATTGACAGTTATAAATTTTAACTTATAACTGACTATAGATGTATTAAAGTATGACTATTTCAAGTCCTTATAATATTTTTCAAATTTTTTTATTTTAAATTACACTCCAATAAACATAATATACGTAAGATGTGTGGAAATTATAATTATTTATATAGAAGTTCTAAAAGATTGCCAATTTACTTTGAAAATTAAAATATAAAACTAAAATAGACATAGTCAACTGTTCAACTATGGGAGGGGGGCTAGAGCCCCCTTAGTTCTTTGGTTATGCTTCAAATATAAACATAAGTTATCCATTTATTATTAATTTAAAATTTCTAAACACCTAGTTTAAAAATCATAAAATATTGTATTGCACCAAAATAAAAACGTGATTGACTTTGCTTCACTTTTGATCATTAGTATCCTCAATGGAAATATTTTTTAGAATTTTCAGTAGATAATTRTAAAATACTTTTTGATTAAATAACAAATGTACATTTAAACAAAGTTATACCTGATAAAGCCATTGCAATCATGCTTAAATTGGGTTGTTGATTTGCACCTTTATTCAATGTTTCAATAGCATCACGCATTCTTAAATTAAAAATTGCTATAGAAGCTGCTCTAGTATGAGCATTTTCATTTTCTAATTTTCTTAACAGAGCAGATATATGTAATGCATTGTTACGATCAAATCCCCAGTCACATAAAAATAATGCATTATCCCTGGCTAAACTCCTAAAAATTAAGGAAATACATTTAAATAAATGAATAATTTATGTTAAGTAATATTATAAGTATAATTTTGATTTCATTTAAATAGATTATAAAAAAAAAAAAATGCAAACAATAAACCAAATAACATCCAATACTAGATACTTAGATAACAAATGTACTAGGAAGACATTAAAATAACTGAAAACCATAATTCAATCATCATTGGACGTATTGCCTAGCTTACCAAATATAAGGTATACTACAAGTGTATCAATAAATGTAACCTTGGTYTCAAAGAAATTATAAAACTTACAAGGTTAATAAATTCCTCTCCWGATTATTTGATAATTTAAAATTTATACATACCGATAAGTTTTTACTGTGCCCTGGATATCAACCCATTGAACATGCTTTAGTTCCGATTTAGGCATAGAAGATCCAGAATCTAAGCCAAGAACAGTTCTAAAATTATTTTTTCAAATTAGAAATATGTTAAAATTCTATCTATGTAGATCAATGGAATGATTTTTCATATATTTTTATGTTTTTAAGGATACAATTTTAAGATGAAACTGACTTTAAGCATAATATCTCAAATCTTGTACAATGTATTTTTTATCAACAAAACTCGGGCTTTATATTTACTTCAACCTTGGTCCAATATTTACATAAATATTTTAAGCTGAAATTTCTGAAACTTGAAGAATTTTAACAGCCCTTAAAAGAAAATGATAAGACAAGAAATATTTTCTAAAAAACACTATTTTAAATTCTATACATTCATTAGAGCACTCAAAACATATAAGTTGCTTGACAAATAAGTAATATTAATAGTTTTCTTTATATTATTAAGTTACCTACTTTATTCCTGGAAATGGTACATTTGGAGTTGTAGGTACAATACCAGCCCTAGTTACTTTTCTATTTAAATCCAACCAATTCCATACGTTTTTTATGATAGGATCATCTACAAGTTTAGCATTCTCTGCAAAGTCCTAAATCAGTAAGAAATAAATATGATAAAATAAATTTAAAGTTTTTATAATTGAAAATATCTATACTTTAATGCCATATTGTGAAAACGCACGCATTTTAATAATAGTTGATATATCTTCAAATGAAGAATAAACTAAATCTTTATCACTTATATATTTAAGGTTGTGCTGCCCATATGTCCAAGCTATATTTGATTTAGTGGACCAATTCAAAGTCATCCTCTCAAATACAAAATAATCATTTAAAACACCTAAAATAGTCATGTAAAATAAATGTAAAMTACAAAGAAATATAATTAGAAGTACCAAACAAATGTTACCAGTTTGAGAAATAGCTAGTAATCTATTTTCATGAGTTGGATGCCATGAAAATGAAGCTAAATGTATGTTGCCTTGTCCAGGATGTACAGTTCTCTCTAAAGCAGAAGGTTCAGCTTCATCCATGCTTTGTTGCATATCATGTAAGCTTATAGCCATAGTGTCTTTTTGTAAAGACCCTAATAAATTATGCCTAGTAAAAACAATAYAAAATACAAAACGATACCCAAGAGGAAAATGTATTTATCATTTATGTATCAACACTAATTTATAAAATAAAATTACATGTTTTTAAACATTTATACATAAATAGAAAATAATGTTAGTAATAAAAGTTTAAAACTTATAAAATCTTACCTTGTCGGACACCATTGAACTTTAGAAACGCTTTTACTCTGTGTTAAAGTTACAACTGGTTTTTCTAAATGCCTTGAGTCCCACAAAACTATACTATTATCACAATATGAAACAATATGGTTATTGTTATACACTGCTATATTAATACCATACACTGCTCTAGTTTGAGTTACATTTATTGATTTAGATGCATCTAAAAATTAAATTTTATAAAACTTAGTTATATATATATATATTCTAGTGATGGGTTGAATCCCGATTTTTTAAATCGAACCTAACTTTGAATTTTTTCAAACCCGAACTGAACAGAACTTTAATATTTTCTACCAAACYAAACCTAGAATCAGTTTAAGTCGACCTCAACATATTTATTATTCATTTTCAAAGTATATACAAAATATTATCATTAATTAATGATTATATAGTCATTATTTCTAAATAATCACTATCAATTTTTATTTTTTTTTTAAATAACTTTTGAATTATACAAATATTTGTTCTCTGAATTACCGTGGCTATTAAGCCCAAAATCGAGTTTGATTTTCAAACAGTTAAAGATGCTAGATAGTTTGTTTCAAATTTATTCAAACATCAAGGGCTCGATTCGGTTCAGTTTGAGATTTGAACAGTTTGACCCATCGCTGATATATATAATTTAATCTTAAAGCTACCAATTAGTAATTTTTAAGCTGTTTTTTTAAATAAATTTACCTCTGATATCAATGCAACGAATGTTTTTAGTATTGCAACTAACAGCTAAAACATGAGGAGATGAATTAAACCAAGCTAAAGAATGAGCAGTTTCTCCCGTTCCATAATCAAAGAATGGTTTTCCTGGCGATAATTCAGCATTAATCAAAGGACTTTTTTCTACATCCCATATTTGAACACATTGATCAGAACGGTGTCTATCCAAACCACAAGCTAATAAATTATAATTAACTGGATTCCATGATATTGCATTACATTGACGAGAAAAGCGTGAATCTTAAATAATATAAAAATACAAAAATTAAATTTTATTTTTAAATTAAATTRATTTTTCTTACTTGGTCCTAATTCAAGTCCAGCTAACGTATTATTCACGGTTGCTAAACCAAATGTACAAAAAGTCACTTTGCCATTAGCATGTCCAATAGCCAGCATAATTTCAGACTCTGGTTTTGGATATATATCAATGCACTTAACATAACGGTGGTTTGTACTTGTTGCTAACAAATTAGCTGCTGTATTAGAAGACAAAACTAAACCTATAAAAGTTTTAATACTATAGATTGTATACTTAAATATAAAATATAAACAATTTTGTATAATCATTATTAATAAAACCTTTTGGAGTGTCACTACTTTTAGAACCTTCAGAAATGGTGGTGTTTATTACTTCGTACATTCGAATGTCAGGACCCCAAGTAATAAATTTATTTTTATGTACTGGAGACCACTGAACTTCCAGTTTTGGTATATCTCCCCTAGACATAAAAAATGATAATTTAATAAAACACATAAACAAGAACTATACAAATAGTGTAAATATGTATTTATATAGTTGAGCAAATTTAAATTATACACTATTACCGAGAGACAAACATAATGACAAGATTTCAGTTCGATGTATGCTTATCATCAAATTACAAGTAAAACGCTTATATTTAATAATATAAATTAATAGTAGACTATACAGGACCTTCGATGTTTCAAAAAAAAATTAGTCTCTGTATTAATAATGTATTAATAATCTGATTTAAAATTTAATAGTGTATTCATCAAATAATTCCCATTTGGCCATTTGTCAATATGAAAACTGAAAACTGTAAATACACTAAATACTAAAATACTAAATTGAAAAATACGCTGACTGCAGAGTGATACTGGTTATTGTGGTTAAGTAGAAATGGCCAAATGCCAAATGGGTAAAAACAAAATATTTAATATTTATGTCTTATTGATAATTCATCATGGTATCATGCATCAATGATAAAGAAAAAGATAATAAATGTGATTTCCCCACCAAGAAAAACTCGTTTTAATTTATGTAGTATTAAGGTATTATGACCAAGACTATGCACAAATCAAAAATTTTAATAATTTTTCTCACAATATTTAAATTTTTAAAAATTAGTACAATAATTATTGTCTATTATCTATTATAAAAGTATATTATTATGATTGTATACATCGTGTGGAAATGTGGAATAACATCAAAAGATTAATATAAAAGTGTAGTGACTTTTCGATGTACCTATTGGCTATTAATATTCCAATTTTCAAATAATTGTTACTCCTAGACAATAACTGAATAACTAGTTACCGTGGTTGTAGTGAATGTCGTTGGTGTACCATGAATGGCCGTCGACCCGACCCGACCCCTTTCCCTATCACCCGTTATTTGCATGTTGCAATCCGTTTTTCGTCTAGTCACTTTTCTCAGCGACTCAGCTGCGTTGTTTCAAAACCAGCATTTTCGCATGATACATTATATTTATTCAACGTGTACTGGTAAGATTATTATTTCAAATAAAATTGTGTTAATTATACGATAAGGTAGTAAAAATTACTAAGTTCATATCGCCCTTTAGAGGAAAGTGTTCAAAATTTTTATCCTTATGGTGTACATTGTAGAAATGTGATAAGGTTTTACATTTTAATTTCTCTTTAATATTTTAATCATCTTCACAATTCTTTCATTTCAACTTTAATGATCAATGTTTATAATTTTTAAATTAATAATCAATCTATACATTTAATTTAATACAATTWWATATAGGTAAATGCAACCAAACAATTATTTACTTATTAATAGAATATTATAGGTACTTTAATAATACACTTATTTTGATAATTTTAATATAGCATAGATTTATTATTCAGCTGATGCTTTAGTTAAGTTATTATTTAATACTGATTGTTAAAAATCCAAAAGTAAATAGTCTTTATTATACTAATTATTATGGAATATCTGGGTTACAGTATTATTCACACTTCACTCATTTTGAATGAGTTATATTATCTGTATTCTGTGGTGATTGTATTGTATGTGTTTATTAGTTTCTCTATAAAGTTGTCAGTTTCTATTGAACCTATTTATTATTACAGCTATGGATTATTATTTGACTGACAGTACTGCATAACAGTCATCTGTTAATAATGTCATGAACTCATAAATAAGTTGTAAAGACTCCAAAATTATCATTGTGTTGTTTTAGCATAGGGTATATTATATTATTTTTTCACGTATATCTTTTATAATATAATTMATTAATTAAATGTCTTATGCTTAGCTCAAAATCAAAAAAAAAAWGTATCTATGATCTTAATGTTGTTCTTTGTACACTAATAGATTTTCAAGCTTTTAACTCCTGATCATACTTGATTTCGTGTATAAGATCATCTATTGATAATTATTTTTTCATGATTTATTTAAAATACTTATTTCTGGTCAAATTCAATCAATGTACTTAATAATTAAAACAAAATGGTAACTTATGATTTTTTATTTGCGTTAATATCTATAGTTCTAAGTACTATAATTATGTAATGTTACACACAAATAATAAGTTTTGTACATTGATTTAAACTAAAGCAAGGCTTACTAAATAAGAATATATATATATTTTGGTAAAAACTGTTAAATTTATAATAAAATAAATATCTATAGCCTGTTCAGCAAGTTAAACATGCAGCAACCTGATAAAAACCTGTTCTTTGCAGAATTGCTGTGTTCCCTTGCTGGACAAAGTACCATAATTAACGTTAATACAAATGGTTAGCTGCTTATAATATGAAAATCTTTATAACATTGGTTTTTAAGGATTTAAGTTGATTCAAAACAATTTGTTTAAATTTTATTTTCAACCATGAGTGATTTTTTTCTTCTCCATTTTGTATAATATCAATTTTGAATCTACCACTAAAATTTCACTTTATGAGTTGTCAAAATGCTTGAACCTGTCCCCCTCACCCTATCATTATTTGGCTCTGGTACAGAACTAAATCTGGGCCTTGAACATTTTGCTAGTCTATAATGAAGTAATTATGTGCATGAACGGCGAGCCCCTCGAAAGTCCGAGTCCCAATACCATGGGTCCTGCTGCCTGCTTCACCCCCCCCCTCTTTGTGGGGCCCCTGCGCTTGACTATGGTTGGTTAGATATACTCATAGCTGAATAACATGGTGTGTTGTCAAAATATACTACTTGTATGCTRTGATATGCATTTCATTGATATCTTGTAAAATAACATAAAAAAATAATTTTATCCCATGATTTATGACGTAAGCCTGTCTCCAATTTGAATGTAAATATTATAGTTTGGAGATAGCGTGAAAAAGTTGTGCTAAAAGACCAGTGTTTTTTTTTTTTTTAACATGGACGTTAACTCCCCTAGTGGTTATTTTGATTTGTTAGAGGGGCTTTCAAATGCGGAATAATGGAAAAAATAAAAAACACCAGTGTCAAGTAATTCACATTATCGTATTATGTCTTCATTTTTGTATAGAAAAGTTTAAATTAGAGTCAATTAAAACATGCATTTATTAAACATTAAGTGTTTTTATTTCAATTTAAAAATGATACATAAAGGTATGATATGTTTTGTTAGAAGAGGGGCTTAAGCCATCAGTTATCTCAATAAAAGGTCGATAATCACTAGCATAGACCTATAATGAAATATTAATATGACTATAGTTGGTACAGGTCTATCCTTCCTATATTATCTATGGTTTTTGAACAAGCTTAATAACCATGGTTTGGTGTCTAAAATTATATTATTGTCAAAATTATAGAATGTTACATTTATTTTGGAAGTGATTTTTATTATTAAGTATATTTGTTTTTTTCTCCATCTAATACATCATAAATTCAATCTATCATGTTTATACTAATGGTTATTAAGTAAAAGTGAAAGTAATTGTTTATTTTTACATGAAAAAAAATCATTAGTTTTTAAATGCTTACTTTCCCAATTGGCCGATTACTCTACTGATGCATTTCTTTGTATTACACTGCTATAATAAAATCTTTGATGTTTTTTTGTTCGCCCATTAGAAATTGTATTAATTAAATTATGTATAATATTTAAAAAAATTTAAAAATATATTTTCCATATTAAGTTATATTATTGATAAAAATATTATGAAAAACAAAAGTAAATAGATAATAATTTGGACGAGACAAAATGTTTTTCTATTAATGTATGGAATATGTTAAAAAAATGTTAGTGAATCTTTTTGTATTAATTCTTGACACTTATTTATTGCAGCTATTAATAACATTCAATTATAACTGTTATTTTTTTTATTTGCTTTTAGAGTTATAATTTTAAAATAGTACTCCAATAATAACAAAATTGATACTAGAGTATACAAGTGTCAGCTGTTATAGAATTAAAAATTCTTAAATATGGATACTTCATCTTTAGATTCAAGTAATGACTTTTTGATTGAAGATGAAACTAATTCGAAGGTTAACACTTGTAACATTTGCAAGTAAGTTGTTTTGGAGTTAGGTAAATTGGGTCCCCGATAATTTGGTTATATTTTAAAAGTGACAAGTTAAATTCCAGGTATAAAAAGATAGTTGGTAAGTTAGGTCTAGGCTACAGGCGCACCTGCCTGCTCCAGTCGGAAGCATATAACGGTTTCCATGACCCAAAGAAGTTTCCAAATGTTTTGTAGAACATCTAATGACCAAACAACCTAATGACAATCAAATATAGTTATTTTGTAATTATTTATCTAMTAGAAACTTATATCTCACCAGATTCTATATTTCCCTCAAATATTTGGTCTGAATTTGCAACTACCACAATGCGTACAACAAATTTGTTGAGAATCATATCATTCTTGATTACATTAACTCTTTTTACTGCCCTCATCCTAATATTTTTGATTTTGTTGACAAACTATTAACAGTATAATGAGTACAGTCAGAGTTGCATGTAAAATTAAGAACCATAAAATGGGATGAATGTTCCAACATTTTTTTTCTAGAATTGAATTTTTCCTATTATCTTTTTTTTTTCTGGAACTCAGTTCACCGAGATATGGCCATTTGGGGTCCAAATTACCAACTAATCATTTTATACTTTAAATATGTTTATATGTTAATGCAATTGTGTTGTTACAGAAATGAGTATATGTGTCCAAGGGTTCTCAACTGTTTGCATGTATTTTGTGAAAAATGCATCTTACAACTTGTTAATGTTAACTCAATGTTTAGTGTTCTTAATATAATTTGTCCTACATGCAGTCAACCAACAACTGTATGTATTTAACTTGTATTATTTTAACTAACCRTTGTGTATTTAAATACAGATATTTATCTGTATTGTATTTTACAATTTATATACAGACTCAATTGAATCGTGGCACTTTGACATTACCCCAAGATTATGTGACAAGGGATATTCTGGAAGTTGAAATGTTGAAAGCTAATAGACTAGTTTGCAAATCTTGTAGAGATAACAAAGAAGCGACTCATAAGTGTATTACATGCTGCAATTTTTTGTGTTCAAGTTGTGAAAGTATGCACAAGGTATTGTTTCAATTGATGGATTTTAGTTATTTGTGCTTAAAAATATAATTTTTTTAAATACTGATAAGTATTTTTTTATTAGATGCTTGTAACCCCAKGACAGTATCACTATATGGTATCCATCGATGAAATGATTCAAAGTGCTCAGGATAAAACTGCTCTACATAAAATGGTTTTATGTGAAAAACACAATA